AGACAGACAGACAGACAGACAGACAGACAGACAGACAGACAGACAGACAGACAGAAGAGCCCATATAAACGAAGCAGAATAAAGTGAGAGATTGTGTCTTTGACATATAACATTACTTTCCTCCCCAGCTCCATCTGGTGCACTACAATGCTGACAAGTACGCCAGTTTCGGCGAGGCAGTCACGGAAAGCGACGGACTGGCGGTTCTTGGCGTTTTCATCAAGGTACACAACCTAGCAAGCTTCTACCATCCCCCACTAGAGAATAAGTGTAATTGTGCTGAATTTATGCCTGTATCAATAGAATTTAAATCGTTTAGAAGGCAGGCCTCTTCGAATGAACTTCAGACTGTGTTGGGTGCAAGACAGAGAAGAGATACTGGATTTAATAGATTTTAACCATAATTTTTTAACAAATATATATAACCTCTCCTCTATCGAAAATCGAGCCAACGTCTTCTTCCGATTGTGTTGGGTGCAAGACAGAGATATTAGATTTAATAGATTTAAATCAAAATTACTTTTGTAAAAATATATATAAACCTTCCTTCTCGAAAATCGAGCCTACGTCTTCTTCGTGTAATGGCGAAGAATATTTAAAACCAGTACAACACCGGCGCCGGTTCCTAATCCTGGCAACGATATTTTTGATAAAAAGAAACTCGAACACAACACTCCTCGGTGCTCGTACAATCTCTCCTTTCGTCAAGTTTGGATTTATCGGGTTTGTTTGTTTATAAACCAATCTCCCATGCTCCTTGGGAGTACGTGATTAAAGCTCCGCTGTGTCCATTCTGAATCCCGAAGCCTTCTGCGCGCTTGATCCTGGTATGTATAGTCTACCCCAAGCTCTGAGTCCATTTAAGGAGGTGGAAGGGTGTAAGAAGGAGAGGATTGGGGGGGGGGGGGTGGATTTGATGTAGAAGAAGCCGAATAAGATAAGAGTACGGGTGGAGAGAACGAATAATTTCTTTCTCAAAATGTCACTGTAACATCGAATTCTTGCAACGTGTTTACCTGATTGAAATAATTATACAAACAGAGACCACCGGCCAACAAGTAAATTGGATAAACAAACCTTTTATTTCAAGAAATAGACCTAAATCAAGCTTCTAAAACAAATCGTATACACAGCGTTGTCTGTTTTTCTCTAAGTTAATTGCTGACGAGATTGAAGCAGACACAAGCAGTGAATGAAAAAAGACTACTGCCAGCCCAGGCGCACCCCCCGCCAATTGAGGAAGCGTTTTCGTGCTTCTTTTGTTTGGAAATGCGAAGCAAGGAAGGAAAATGAGTGTGCATGACGATGAGACAGGAAGCCATATGGTGTAGCAGTTTACCGCTCAACATCCGTTTCTGTCTAGTTATGTTTTTCGGGCAGGTTCATCTAAAAACAGAATCTGAGGAAAGATAAAGAAGGGGAGGGTGGGGTGGG